CCCCCCCCCTTACTTTGCATTTTATAATCTCTTTTTTCGTGGGTCAATGTAAATTTTTTATGATCTTTCTTAAAAAAATATATATATATATATAATTTTTTAATTCTTTTATGTAGAAACGGATGAAAATATAAAGAAAAATTTAGAAAATCCATTTTTAAGAAAACTTTTGACTAAGGTTAACTACTCGCAAAATCCCGACACAAGTATTGAGGATGCCATGCAGGAACCTGAATTTGTTGATTTTGTGACTCATTGCTTAAAAACTGTTGAAGATCAAAGTAGATATGAAAAATGTTATAATTCTTAAATTCTCTACAAATACATAGGTGTGTAAAAATTGTATATAAAACTGATCTTTGAAGTTATTAAAATGCATTTTATTTAAATTTGTTTGTGCAATGATTTAGTTTTTTGAAGAAAAAAAAAACAGATCTCATATCTTTCCATCTTAGCCTCATCATGTTTTTGCGTCTACGAATTTTCATTATTGTTCTTACTTTACTTACGTTTAGTAATCTGGAAATTATTCTTTCTAAAATATGTTTAAAAGATTGTTCTAAATGTAAGCATCATGAAATCATTAAAACGCATACAAATGTTATAAGTTATTAATTCAACACAAAATTATGAAATATAGTTAAACTTATTTAATTATAACCCTGATTTAATGGTATCCAGGGTGTAGTAAGGGTTTCTTAAGTTGCTTGTTTTATTTTAAAAGGAAGTCTATATAAAACTTTGTTATTGAGAGCATAACTTGTTGAACTTAATAGGAGATTTTTCATTAACTTCTTGATAACTATTTTATTGAAGCTTTTGTCTGAAAAAACGTTCATTGTTCAGAAATTGTTTTGTTAACAGCAGTTCATTTATGTCGCACTAGAGCTGAACAATGGGCTATTGGCGATGGTCTAGGAAACATCCCTGAGGATGATCCGAAGGCATGCCATCACTATTTTGATCCTCTGCAGAGAGGGTGGCACCCCCGTTTCGGTAGCCCGATGACCTGTTTTGTTAACAGAAGAACAAAAAAAAAAAGAATGTAATAATTGTGATGATAAATAATGAGTTAAAATGTGCATAGTGATAAATCATTTTATCAGCTCTATTACTATTTTGTAGGTGTTCAATGTTAGGTTCTCGTTCTTATTTAACTTTTTTTTGACTATTTGTAGTGTGTCTACTACTACAAAAATACAATTCCAACAGGGTTGCCACTCCACAGGGAGAACAGAGAAAACCTGGAAAATACAGGGAATTTAAAAATCACCTTAAATAACAGGGAAAATGCGGGAAATTTTGATTTTTTCTTTACAAACTGGGAAAATACAGGGAAATTTGTTTCTTATTTTTGTATTTTAAAAAATGGTGACCACTCAAAGCGTAATCTATGGGATATTTAACCATTGATATTTCAGCTATACTAAACTATTTCATTTACTCTAGCATTATTTAAGTATGTTCAGTTGTTTTTCCAGCAATTAAAAACTAATAAATATAGATAGGCCAATATAGCTCACACAAGAGCACAGTATTGATTGTTTCCTCTTAATATATTGTACAGGGAAAACACATGGAATTTTTTTTTCTAGATTTGAGTGGCAACCCTGTCCAATTCACTAGTATATAAGACATGTTAACTCGATTCTATGTTGGGCTACCTTTTCATAGATGAAGGTTGACATTGTCGATGTGACTCTTCCCACATTGGCAATGCAGATGTGATCTGAACACGCCTATATTGACAGTAACGCCCACTTTGATCTGAACATGCCTACTTCGTTGGATGGTCCACATTGAACAGTTGACTTGCTACTTGTGACTGTGATGACATTATCCACCTCGCGCTGTTGCTACTTAGCCTCGATTACATACAACATATACACTAGACTGCTGAAAGTAACACTGGAGCGACCATGACTACGAGCTTAATACAGCTCTCACTATCAGCACTCAAAAGTATGGGGATCTTAATACTGCCTCTCACAAAACAGCAATGAATCAACTAGTGGTATCCTTTCATCAAATCCTATCACAGCTATAATTCTAGTGGGGAAATTCTGTAGTGTGTCAGGCAAAAATACAATTCCAATTCACTAGTATATAAGACATGTTAACTCGATTTTATGTTGGGGTACCTTTTCATAGATGAAGGTTGACATTGTCGATAACTACTATCCCCACACTGTTCATTGTAAAAATTTGTAATTTTCAAATTTTTAAGTCTACATGCTTCCTTATGTCCTTTAGCGTAAAACTTTTAATTTTATACTTTTTCTTCTTCATTAAATTTGTTCTTTTGAATAAATACATTGAACTGTAAAAAAAAAAAATTTTTTTTTAACGAATGTAACTACTTTTAACCTTTAATAACATACCAACTTTTTTCAAGTAAACATACAATTTAACATCCTGTATTTTGAAACATGCTTTTTTGTATTAATTGTTAATGCTAGCAAATTCTATTTCTTAAAAGTTTTAATTGATTATAGTCTTTCAGCAAAGTGTTGTATCTAATTAATAATTTTAATTTCAGATAAATGAATCTATGAATTTAACGAAATAACATGACAAATTAAAACTCTTATATATATCTATTTTAGAAACTCATTGTATTTAAAAAATTTAATTTGATAATTATATGGGGTGAACTCTTGAAAGTGTGACAGTTGCGTCTCTTGCTTTTGTTGAATTTTTTATTTTATTATGAATTATTTGTCTATCGATTTATTTATTTTTGAAAAACTGTTAAAGCCACCCAATTTCACATTTTAAATCTAATAAATTTATTATGTATCTAATATATTACAAGTTACAGCTCAACTTGAATGTGTAAAATGTCACTTTTAATGCTAATCTTATATAATCAGCAATATTCTTAACAATAACAAAAAAGTAATAAATAAATAATCAAAGAATGAAACTAATTTACAAATTCAGAAAAAGACAAAATAAGTAAAAAACATTTAAAATAATAAATCAAAATAGCATATAGATGGCAGTGCTTTTTTAAATTTTTACTTATTCAATGTTTTTGTGTTTTATTTTTCAAGATTTTCAAAAAGGGGTTAGCACTAGATTTATTTCTAAAGTTTCCTTAATGATTTGGCAATTTATGTTTTATTTTAATATTGCTATTCTAACTTTATTTATTTTTCTTATATGTGGGTTTTCTTATATTAGGTCTTAGTCTGTGAACTTTTAAATTGTAATTGTTTGTCATTAATTTTTCTTTGCATTTACATTTCAATTTTTCTAATTGCTTTTCTTATTTGTGTTTCCATTATGGTGCTTCGGGGCACTGTCAGTTTTTGGTTTCTACACTGACAACAGATGTGTTTTAGCAAACAGTGTGTCCCCTGATGAAGTGCTGTCCTGGTAATGCATATATCTTAAATTTTTATTGTTTTCGGCTAGAATTGAATTTCTGAGTTTTAATGAATAAATAATTCACATGTGTCAAAGTATATTTTAACCTCTCCATTACTTTGGTCCACATATATGGACATTCGCTTCTTAGCTTCTAAAAACATGCTGTAAGAAAATTTATAGTTTTACACTCACTGACACATTCATGGAGGTTTAAACGTGCTGGGGATTCCAATAGAAGCAGAACATCAAAGTTATTTGGGTGAAATTTCCACATGAAACAGAAGTGATTATCAAAAAATGATGCTAAATCTATGTGGTGGAAAATTTTAGTAATTTTAAATATTATATAATTTAGTTATTTTGAGAATTATATTTTTTCGTTTGACTTAGTAGTTCTGTGATCTGTATGAAGCTTTTATATTTATATTTACTTAAAATTTTAAAATAATACAGTCAAAAACATGCTGGTATAGCTATTTAGTAATAATTTTAGTTTTTTCAATAATTATTTATTTTGCCCGGTGTGCATAGTTAAAATAACTAAAATTCGTTTAACTATTTAAAACCTAATTTTAAAAAATTATTAGCCCCATGGCAGTGCAATTTATATTTTGTTTATTTTATTATGACTTTTGGCTGTAAAAAAGCAATTTGAAACTGTAAAATATTTTTTTTTTGCTATATTCCTTTATGCTTTAGTAGTGAAGAAGTTATGTTGTAAGAAAAAGAAATTCACTGTGGATTCATAAGTTTATTTTAAAAAGAAATTTCCATCGTAAATAAAAAGTTTTTTTACATAGGATATATATGAATTTCTTATGTATGCTTTCTACCTTGCAAACATGTCAAGTCCTTTTCTTCTGAAACATATATTGCAGGCCACAATTAACAATGAGAGACTAGGTCACCGAGATTTCCATTGCTATTGATTTCTTTGTCTGAACACGTACTTCCTTTGTTACTATCATTGCTGGAACTTCGTTGGTAAATTGGGTTCCCTCGATGTGTGAAATTACTCGGAGTGCCTGCACCCCCAATACCGACGTATCGTCCGAGGGGTCCGTCACTTCTCACATTCATTTCACCTCGCATGAAACGTTCCAACTTGTCTACACATGCATCTTGATAATCATGGATCCATCTGTGTGTGAAAAAATAAACAGTGTGAGATAAAAAATTTAAAAAAAATAAATGAATAAAAAACATTATTCTAAGGTTGTAAAAACATTTCAGATTCATGCTTTTCACAATATGACAAATATTTTAAATATTCCATCATTTAATAATTGAGTTTAAAAATGGCCAAATACTAAAAAAAAAAAAAAAAGGAATATATTAGCTTTTAAGGGTCAGCAGTGAATTCAGTTTTTAAGACAGTTAACTGTAACTTTATAAGTTATAATTAATTATTGCAAAGTTTGAAACACAGTGCACAGTAAATTATTTATAAAATGTTTTTTAATTGTAAAAACTTGTACAAATTTTCTTCTCTAGACAGTAAAATTTTTTGGTGTATATTTGCCACCATTTGTGGTGTTGGGGTTAATTAAAGTTTTTCAATTTGCATGTAGTTACTTATTTATTTATTCATTTTTTGTTTACTGATAACGCATATTTTCTGGCACATTCGAGTCAATTTAATGACTTCATTGCAAAAACATTTCAGTTTAAAAAACAAGCACATTTTTAGTACTGTATTTGCACTAATTCTTTCAAGCAGCTGTTATATAATTTTTTGCATGATAACTGCAATTTTGCACATAAAAATTTATTTAGCATACCTTAGCACCAAAAATATTGACAACTATACATCAGACATTTTTATTGTGTACAAATAATAAAGAGTTTTTTTTTTCCTTTTATTTTTTTTTAAATAGATCATTTACAACACATGTTTTTAGCATGGTTAAAAATAATTCTCTAATTTTTTTTAAATAAACCTTTTTTGACACTTAAATTGGTTACTCTGTATTTCGGAATTATAATGTTAGAATTTAAATGCTTTAAAAGAAAATTATTCAAGTTAGTTTAAACATTTTCTGCAAGTTATGTAGTTTTACATATATATTTTCTGGATAGATGTTAGGAGGTGCTTTGACCATTCCACGATCACAACTGCATCTGAATTTACAACCCTATTCATATATCTATGCATTTAATTATTAATAAATATGCATAGTTAAGAGTTTATTTTAATGTGTAGAAAAACTAGGATTTTTTGATAATAGTTTTCAAAACAAATATGCATCTAGTAAAGTAATACTTTTTTTTAACATTCTCTTCATCTTATGAAGTGTGTAATATCAGTCATAAAAGCATGGTTGGCATAATGACTTCAGTGAAAAGTGTTCAAAACACAAACTTCATATATCCAGGATTTTAGATATTCAATAAACTAAAAATATTTTTTAAAATTGGTAGCTATATAAAAATGTAGTATTTTTACAAAAATCTTTGTGTCAAGTTAAAAGAATTAATAACTTATAATAAATCAATCGAGTTGACCACATTCACTTGTGACTAATATATGATGACAGCAACACTGTGAAATTTCACGCAAACTTGTTTCGCTTGTGTAATAGATATTGTGTAGAGCTGTTTGAGAAAGGTTATATCTGATATTTTTGAATTGCCCAAAAAATATCGATTGGGTAACAAAATTTTAAATTTAAATGTAACAGAGAAGAAAAAACAGATTTCAAAAGTTAAATTTTGTGCAAAAAAGAAGGGGCTCTAAATACTGAGTTATAAGAATTTTTTTGCTTCTCACTTATAATGTTTTTTTTTCTTTTGTGCAGAAATAGAAAATGTTAGAAAAATAAAAATAGTGAATTGAAGATTGGCGTGCAGGAGTTAAAACCTCCCTGTTAGGGGAAAAAAATTAGTTTTTAAGATAGATAATAGACTTATTCATACATCGCCTTTTTTTGTGCAGAAATAGAAAATGTTTGAAAAATAAAATTAGCGAATTGAAGATTGGCGTGCAGGAATTAAAACCTCCCTAATTGGGAGAAAAAAATTAGTTTTTAAGATAGATAATAGACTTATACGCATAATATGACTCATTCATTAATGTATATTACAGCTGCTCTATGAGTCCTATAGAAAGGTTTTAAATTTTGCAAGTTGGCAAGTCCAGTAACGTCGTAAATTCTATTCTTTTTTAGTTAATTCATCACAAACTCATGTCTTCCGGTAAAGTTTACAAAAAAGAAAACTTAAAAGACTAACCTTACTCCATTGAAATAGCAGACGGCCCTCATGTCTTCCGGTAAGGTTTCCGGTTCAGGCCATTGAAAGTTGTCTAATATTGGAATGATATTACATTGGCTTTGGAGAGCTTCAACAATTTCCTAAAAATTTAACATTATTAACTTTAAAAATAATAAGTAAACGCACATTTTTAATAACGTATAAACATAAATAATTTAATTTGCTGTTAATATTTTTTTATCTTTATTCCTTGGGATTCATTTGCAACTATTAGCCGCAAGAATGCCAGTATAATCTTGTATGTATGACAGTATGCTTCTACCTATCGTTGAATAAACTAATAGCAAGTTTGGAAACAAAAACAATTTCTAGGATAAGAAATTATTTAAATTATCCTCACAATAGTTTTCAAAGACAACTTGCATAAAAATTGATGCTAAAATGTATTTTTACTTTACAGTTAAATGTTTTATGCGTTAATTTTTCGAAATCATTAATTGCAAATTGATCTATCTAAAAGTGAAGTTTATTCAATAGTTTCTGGAATAATATTGCTAGATTATGAAAATAATTTTTACACAGCTCTTTGTTTATACTTAAAATATAATTTTGTCATGATAATAAATTATGTTAAATAAAAAAACATTTATTAAACTACATACATGCTCCAATTGTATAATTGGGTATCGCAAATAATTTTATTTCTTTTTTGTTATAATATATTAAATATAAAATAAAAGTTTATTTATGATGTCCAAATTCCCCCTTTTATTGTCTATAAGATTTTAAGTTTAAATTTATAAGATTCTGGTACTTTTTTTAATAATCTTTCATTGCCANGGGAAAAAAAAATTAGTTTTTAAGATAGATAATAGACTTATTCATACATCGCCTTTTTTTGTGCAGAAATAGAAAATGTTTGAAAAATAAAATTAGTGCATTGAAGATTGGCGTGCAGGAGTTAAAACCTCCCTGTTAGGTGAAAAAAAATTAGTTTTTAAGATAGATAATAGACTTATTCATACATCGCCTTTTTTTGTGCAGAAATAGAAAATGTTTGAAAAATAAAATTAGTGAATTGAAGATTGGCGTGCAGGAGTTAAAACCTCCCTGTTAGGGGGGAAAAAAAATTAGTTTTTAAGATAGATATTAGACTTATTCATACATCGCCTTTTTTTGTGCAGAAATAGAAAATGTTTGAAAAATAAAATTAGTGAATTGAAGATTGGCGTGCAGGGATTAAAACCTCCCTAATTGGGAGAAAAAAATTAGTTTTTAAGATAGATAATATACTTATACGCATAATATGACTCATTCATTAATGTATATTACAGCTGCATGAGTCCTGTAGAAAGGTTTTAGATTTTGCAAGTTGGTAAGTCCAGTAACGTCTTAAATTCTATTCTTTTTTAGTTAATTCATCACTAACTCGTGTCTTTCGGTAAATTTCAAGATAAAAAGGAAACTTAAAAGACTAACCTTACTCCATTGAAATAGCAGACGGCCCTCATGTCTTCAGGTAAGGTTTCCGGCTCGGGCCATTGAAAGTTGTCTAATATTGGAATGATATTACATTGGCTTTGGAGAGCTTCAACAATTTCCTAAAAATTGAACATTATTAACTTTAAAAATAATAAGTAAACGCACATTTTTAATAACCTATAAACATAAATAATTTTATTCCTTGGGATTCATTTGCAACTATTAGCCACAAGAATCCCAGTATAATCTTGTACGTATAACAGTATGCTTCTACCTATCGTTGAATAAACTAATAGCAAGTTTGGAAACAAAAACAATTTCTGGGATAAGAAGTTATTTAAATTATCCTCATAATAGTTTTCAAAGACAACTTGCATAAAAATTGATGCTAAAATGTATTTTTACTTTACAGTTAAATGTTTTATGCGTTAATTTTTCGAAATCATTAATTGCAAATTGATCTATCTAAAAGTGAAGTTTATTCAATAGTTTCTAGAATAATATTGCTAGATTATGAAAATAATTTTTACACAGCTCTTTGTTTATACTTAAAATATAATTTTGTCATGATAATAAATTATGTTAAATAAAAAAACATTTATTAAACTACATACATGCTCCAATTGTATAATTGGGTATCGCAAATAATTTTATTTCTTTTTTGTTATAATATATTAAATATAAAATAAAAGTTTATTTATGATGTCCAAATTCCCCCTTTTATTGTCTATAAGATTTTAAGTTTAAATTTATAAGATTCTGGTACTTTTTTTAATAATCTTTTATTGCCATTTATTTTATTTTACCATACTCGCATTTTTACCTAATTAAATATTGTATATAACTTATTACTTATCTTAATATTTTAATTGTTCAGTATGGTATGTATTAGCTATACTATATCTGTTTATCTGCTTTCATATTTTTTTTGAAAAAGGAAAAAAAAAGTATTTTTAACAATTTTTTTTACTATGCAGTAACTTTTTTCACTTAGCAAAATAAATTGAGCATTCCAATATATGACATAATAAACACTTTGACTTCATTAAACCATCCTAAGCTTTTTTCAACTCACTAGCAACTAAACTCTGCCATCAATCAATATTCTGCATTTGATTTCATTTTGTATTTTTATAATAGTTTATTTCCATGTTGATCAATATGTACTAATCCTTTGTGTACCCTTAGCACTGATGGCTTCTAGCATATTTCTCAACCATTCTTAGTATCTAGAGCTCCCCCAAAATCTTATACTGAAAAGTAAATCTATGTCTCCCTCTACTTCTTTTTCCATCTGGGATCTATGTAAGCCCATCAGATGTAAAATTTTGCTTGGGCATTCTGAGAACCAACTTCTTGTCCATTTTAAGACCTTTATTGTTTTATTTTTTTAGCTTTATTTTAAAAAACAAAAAAACTTTTCATTGTATATCTTGTAAGGCCGGAAAATTTAAAAAATATATCTCAATCATTTGTTTTGATAGACTTGTAGTTTTTCTATCTTAAAGTAAGTCAATCAATAGGACCATTAGTTTAAAAGCTTGGACAGTTTTATGTGATTTTTATAGAACATTTAAATTAATAAATTTTAAAGTCAAAATGGCTTACTCGATGGACCCAATCCTTGCATTCGGTGTCATTCATGCACCTTTCAAGTGCGTTTGGCGTGAGAACTAACAGAAAATGTTTTGCTTGGCGGATACTGTTGAGTAGATTATTGTCGAATTTTCCTGCTTCCAGTCGTTCAACGTCTATAAAGACAGAAAAGCCTCTCAACTGCAGGTGGACTTTTAGCAAACTGGAAAACAAAAATTGTTATTACTTTTATGCAGAATCAGGAGGAAAATTGTTTAAGATTTATTTAATTTTAGTACTAATATTATTAGTTTATTTAGTAGTAGTCCATTAAAGCTAAAAGTCATTTTATTATATTTTTAATTAAAGTTTTAATATTACAAGAAAACCATCTGTACAATTTGGAAGTTCATCGAATTTAATTTACTAACTGTTCTACCTCCTAAACCTACTATTAAAAAAATATCAGCACACATTTTAAAGTAAGTTTTCTTATGATGGACATAGTTGACAAATACTTCTTTTATAAAGATTTATGATTAATAAGCTATTTCTAAGTAGTTGAAAATTGGTATATAAAAATTGGTATATAAAAATGTGCTTTAAACTCAATATGAATGTCTGGAGTTTGTCCCAACCTTTGATATGAGCTTTCAAAGTAAGGCAAAACTTAAGCATTGCAAAAAGTGAACTATTATTTAGGCAGAATCAAAATAATAAAATAATTTAAAAGTTATTACTGTTTAATGTAAAAGGCAGTCTTTTGACTTGAATATACGTCTAACATTGTTATCTGGACAAGAGGGGCATCCTTAGTTATTTCCGTATTAGACTCCTTTTTTATGAGGAGGAAACTAGCTCGTGAGCTAATCTATTACAAAATTATAATCTAAATTTATTGACATAAATCTATTACTATTTTTGTCTCAACCTTATGCATAACTCATTATCACTGAAGTGAATTTGATAACCATGTAAAATATGTGTATCATTAAGAAATGAATTATATATGTAACATCTAAAGTGTAAAAATCTGTTATTCTACAGATTATTTAGCTATTGTGCAGATTGACTACGATAATCCGTTAAAGTTCGAAAAACTGTTTCATTTATCATATTTCCTTGGTAATTTGCAAACTACCTACTAAGCACTCGTTTAAGTGAAAATAAGATCTTTGTTGTAACAACGACAACGTTTCTGTACGCTTAAATTAATGTAATGTTATTTATCTTTCGATATAAAAAAGTCAAGTTACTACAATCAATAAATTTATTGATTTGGCAGCACGTATGATCTGCTTAGATGGTATAACTAATTAATTAGAGAGAACTATTATGCTATTTATGCTAATATTAATTAATCACAAAGACGAGCTTACTCTAAATAATCTAATGATGCCGTAATAAGGACAAATGTAAATTTAATATTTTTGTTTGCCTTTTTGGTCAAGTCACCACAACTATTTTCGTAATTTTGGATAGCATGGTCCTCCTCACTTTTTGAATCACAAGTCACCTCTGAGTTTACATACTTAACGAATTTCAACTTATTAATATTAATTAATCACAAAGACGATCTTACTCTAAATAAACATCAATTTTCCCAATTTAGAACATTCAAAATAGGTGCCGTAATGTGGTACAAAGTAAATAAAATTTTTTTGTTTGCCTTTCTGTCCATGTCACCACAACTAATTTCGCAATTTCAGTTAGCATGGACCCCCTCACTTTTTTGAATCACAAGTCGCCTCTGGGTTTACATATTTAACTAATTTCAAGTTACGATTCGTGCTGATGACGTCAATCAGACATCTTAAAATAAAGCCGTTTCTAAAAATAAACTGGAGTAAAATGCAGTCAGCTGTTAAGAGAGCAAACACAGTGTTTTCAAAATAAACATAAAGGATATCCTGGTTGTCTTCTTTGCCTTTGATAATTTTTACTCATCCTTACTGTATAATGTAATGCGAGGAGTTTGTATACAAAAACTATCTCTTAGAATACTTAAGATTATTTTTTAATGTGCGTCACAAGGAAGCTTTAAAGTTTACTATTTACCTTGCAAATAAATATTTATTTTTTGAATTAAGAATGTAAAGGATATTCTAGGGTACAAAATTATTGTTAAGGGGTTCAAACTTACGGCTAAACTTTTGGGAAAATGTTTTTAAATTATAGCAACTACCCTCTCATATTTTGAAGGTCAGAAATCCTCCGCTATCGGTCGAAAAAAATGCGTGTTAAATTTTTTTTAAATGTTTTTTTGTGTCTGTTATCATAGATTTTATTTATAACCGACGTTGAACAGCCGATCCAAATCTGAGTTTATGACTATCTATGTTCAACTCCGTAGCCTCAGTGTAATTTTGAACCCAACCCAGATGACAAGGGAACTACGGACAAACTTGCCTTCGTGGAGGTCTTTTCGATGGAACTAACTGCATTTGCGTTACATGGTTAGGAAAATTATGAAAACACCCGACGGTTAGCCCAACGGCAAGGGGATTCTAATCCATGATTCGTCTACCACTGAGGATATTTTAAATCATCACTGTGGGCTGTGAGAGCCGGGAGCAGAATTCATATCAACCTGTCACCGCTGAGATTCAAACCTGGATTACCTAATTGGGAGGCGGATGATCTATCTCCTGAGCCACCGCATCTCTTAATATAGTAGTTTATTATATCTTCCTCACCAATTAATCATCACATTTAAGATCAATCCCCCACTTCATTAATGCATCATAAAAAGTGAAAATCCAATTATTAGTATCAAATGTCATTTCGGTGATACTTTTTTATTTTATTTTGTGCACTGTTGTCTTACGAAACGAGTATAGGTCTCCCTTATATCAAATAGCTTTACATCTTAGAATTGTGCAGTAATTTAAAAAGAATTGGCATCATTGGCCATTTTATAAACATAAAGTGAAAGTCCAACAGTAAGATTCGTTTACCTAGCTAATTGAGATCCATTTGATCGTCGGTAACTAACAAACACGTCCAGGCTCTTTTGCGTATCTTCCTCGTCTTCAGAATCTTCGCTCATTTGAGACAAACCTGTTGAAAGAATATAACAGTTTCTTATTAATTTTTCTTGAAAATCTTAATACTACATCAAAATTACACAATATTTCAGCTAACGGAAACTGCTATAAAGCCAATTCTAATTATCATATATATATGGTTATTTATTTATTTTAATTCGTAAAAGAGTAAGATGATTGGTTAAGTGTGGATTTTAATGGTAGGTGAGCCGAAAGCGGATATATTGCGCCAAACATGAACGTTATTGCATACTGAAAATCAAACGGTGATATAAACCGTGCCTGACACAAGAAAAGGGAGAAAGAGATTAAGTATATTGATCATAAAACACGTATTTATCCGAAAGTAAATTTACCGTAGAGGGTGGAAGCTTACGAGAACTATGGGAAGTGAATCGGTTAGTGGAGTCATAGTTTACTGCATAAAGTTAATCCGAATCAGTAGGTTAGGTTAATTAGATCAGTCAGTGTTTGGGAAGATTAAAATTTTGACTTATCGTCGGTGACTTATTCTGGACACATCTCAAACTGCGTTTTTAAAAAAGGGACACAGTTCAGAATGCGTGTTTAAGAAAATGGATACAACTCAAACTGCGTGCTTAAAAAAATGGATACAGCTCAAAATCCGTGTTTAAGGAAGTGGATACAGCTCAAAATACGTGTTTAAGGAAATGATTACAGCTCAAAATACGTGTTAAAGGAAATGGATACAGCTCAAATTGCGTGTTTAAGAAAATGGACTTTACTATTTGGGAATACAGAAATAGCTTTGATTCCGATTTTTTAAACTCCTTTTATAAAAATTGATCTTTTTTTAAAGAATGAACTAATCGATTCAAACAAATTCGTAATGCGATGTCATCCATTTGCCTAAATCACTTCGTACAATTTTTTAAAAATCAATCTTTTTTTGAAAAGGTTTTTAAAGTCAACAGTTGTCTTTATGAGATTGTCACGGGCCCTATAAATTTATATCAGCAATATTAAATTGCCGTTTTGCAAATTTATATTTTTAATTCATCGTCTAGAATGAAGTGATTTCTGAATAGCAGATCGCCTGAAAAGTTTCATCTCTAATATGCCCAGTCACTCATACCCTAAGGACCGGCACTTTGCCTCGTTATTATTATGTTTAGTTTATAAAAAATAAGTAAAAGTAAATATAGAATTCCTCGTTTAGTTATTAGATTTGGATTGAATGTTGAAAAGACGCATTTTTTGCTGATTCCATTTTTTAAACATTAGAACTGTGTCCATTTTCTTAAACACGGATTTTGAGCTGTGTTCCTCTTTGTAAACATGCTTTTTGAACTGCTTTCATTTTCTTAAACACACCTTTTGAGCTGTGTACATCATCTTAAACATGCTTTTTGAGCTTTGCCCATTTCCTTAAACACGCGTTTTGAGATATGTCCAGAATTAAAAGCTCGCCGTCGTTAAGATTATGGTTATTAACGATGATAACCATAATTTATCTTCAGATGTTTTTCTTATCTTATCATTATATAAATGACCGTTTCACACATGTTATGTTAACTTTAAAAATAAATTTTTTTCCCATAAGTCTATTATTTAAGTGATTAACTTTAACGACATGTAAATAAATGATGAACGGGAAGAAATGAAAAAGATCGATATGGAAAGTCAATATGAAGGATTGATAAGAAGAGATTCTTGGAAAGAAGAAATTTGATGATAAAGAGTGGATATCTGAAAAGATCAAGAACTTAGCTTGAGAAAAACGTGAAATGGAACAAAAAATATTCAGAAAAGAAGTAGCTAAAATTAAACCAGAACATTGGGAGGATTATAAGAGGCAAAATAAAGAATGTAAGATAAGTGCAAGACAAGATAAAAGGAAATATTACGACGAAGATCTGACCACATCAGCTCAAGAAGCAGTTAGAAACAATAACTCAAAATGGCTTTATTACATCCCTTACAAAATTAGTGGTAAGAAACGCGCAATTCAGTGGCCAATCAAGAACAAACAAGGTTTGAAACTTACAAAAAAAGACCAAACCAAAAGGTGGGTTGATTATTTTAAGGATACTTTAGACAAAATCCTGCTGATTTGTAAGATATTCCAGAAGAAGCATCCAGACAACTAGAGATAGACAGCTTGAAGTGCAGCAAACAATAAAATTGCTCTTAAATGTGGAAAAGCTGCTGACAGTGATAACCTACCTGGTGAATTTTTCAATGAAAGTTCAAAAACTGCAATTAAAGCTTTAACTGTTCTATTTAATAAAATCACGAAGAGTAGTAGCCTAATGACTAAGGTGAAGGCCTGCTGATAAAACTACCAAAAAAAGGTGATCTGACGATATGCCACTACTGGAGAGGAATCACTTTATTAAATGTCTGTAACAAAACTTGTGCTGGAGAGAATGAAAAATGCAATTGACAAAAAAGTGATCAGGGCAAGCAGGTTTCAGAGCGAATGGCTCATGTGTCGACCACATTGCGACATTAAGGATTACAGTCGAACAATCTATTGAATTGCAATCAACAATATATTTAAATTTCATAGATTTTGAAAAGGCTTTCGGCAGCTTACTGTTGAAGTACTATGGAAGTCCCGAATGTTTTGTAAGCATTATCAGAAATATATATAAAAATTACAATATACGAGTTATCAATGCCGGGCAACAATCAGAATCTTTCAAGGTTGATTCCGGTGTTAGACAGGGCTGTATTACTTTCTCCAACAATCTTTTTAATTGCTATTGACTGGATTATGAAGAGAGCATCAGAGAATAGAAAGGGTATTAGATGAAACCTTGCTGAATATCTTTCTGGTCTTTTACAGATGAATTGTGTTAACTGATCAACACCCTTCAATACATGCGAACAAGCACAAATATTTTAAACGTCGAGTCAAAGAACATGGGGCTTATTATTTTGGCTTAATATAGCTTATAACATTAATAGAGCTCAGTTATCAGGTCTATCTTACAATACAAACATGCAAAACCAGTTGTAGAGTTTCGGAGTGAGATTTTTTTTAAAGATTATTTAAACAGGGTTTAAAACAATTAAAAAATAAACTGAAAATTTAATGCAAAATGGAATAAATATTGAAATAGCTTGCCTTTGATGGCGTGTGCAATTCTTAACCTATGTATACTGTTGTCAATATTGCAATCCCTTAACAAATGTTCGTCACTTATGTATTTCAGAGTATCTTTTTGTACACCACATCGAAGCATTTGGTAAGTATACTGCGAAAATTCCAATCCCAAATTTTGAAGAACATGATTTAGATACGTTGAATCACAAGAAGTGTAATCAGCCATTCGTTTCAACTGTCCCAACTCTCGGAGAAACCTGCAAGAGATATTTATTATTCAACATTTACTATAAACTATAATTAATTCAATTACCATATATTTTAGTAATAGGAATAGAATTTTAGTAATTTTCGATTACCTCCTTCCTCTAACAACTTTCATCATTCCCAAAGCCCTCTAAATGATATTTTAATTTTATTTTATAATCGTCGTTGAACAGCCGACGCAATTTTGGGCTTACGACAACCAATTTTCAATTCCGTAGCCTTTAATTTTAAGCCCAATCCAGAAGACAAGAGAACTCCTGGATCAAGTATTGGAAGAAATTTGCCTTCATGCAGGATTTTTTTTGATGGAACTAACCTGCATTTGCGTTACACGGAGAGGAAAACCTCCCACGGTTAACCTGGCAGCAAGGGGACTCTAACCCATGATTCGTCTACCATTGAGGATATTTCATGTTAACACTGTGGTCAGTGCATACCGAGTGTGAAATTCGTATCGTCTAGCCATCACCGGGATTCGAACGCGATTCACCTCATTTGGAGGCGAACGCTCTATTCCCTGAGCCATCGCGACTTTCTAAATGATATTATCAATGGTCAATTAATGTATAATTTTTGTTCTTTTTTTTCTCATCTAACTGTTTTTTATTTTATTTTATAACTGGCGTTGAACAGCCGACACAGTTTGCGACTGTCAATGTTGTGACTGTCTAGTTTGCGAATGTTTAACTCCGTAGTCTTGTAACTTTGACCCCAACCCTCCTTAATAATTCAAACAGCAATGTTTTTAGATACTTTTTTATAGAACGCGTATTTCAGGAAAGGCAAATCGGTATCCAAATTACAACTTCTCAATCTCTATTGACATATTGTCGAATTGATTTTGACTTCCACCTTTGATGTGAATGAAAGATGTATAGTAGTTTTAAAAACGATTTTTTTTTCTCTTCTAATTATTAATTTGCAACTATTTTAAAGGTTCAAATAGCGTAATTTTTGTCAATTTTTCCAGACTTACACGGAAATTTCTATAATCACATTTTTTAATATGTATATTTATACTATTTTTCAATGGACGTTAAGGACTTGAATTAATTTTTAAGAGAGAAAATGGATTTTAAAAATTATAAGGAATTATTATCGAGGTCACTCACTGGAATGATGAGAATAAACATATTAAATCAGTCAGAGTTTTATGAAATGAAGAGGTAATTATTATAATCGCTTTTCAGTTTTTCCCGATTTTGACAATTTTAATATCCTTTTTATATTGATTGACCTAGATAAAAAGTCCTTGGATTTCACTAGCATTTCTTCCTGAGAAATATGAATTTGCCACAACTAATAAGTGTAATTTTTGCTTCATTATTCCTCTAAGAATTTAAAGCTATATATTAATTATGGGAAATAAGAAACACTCTGTATATTATATGAAAAAGACAACCAAAATATTAGGCAGATGAAAAAGCTCTATGGATAACTTTCAAATGTTATGGTTGCTTGTATGATATATTATTGGTGATTCAACTTATATTCTTAGGACATTTGTAAAATTATAATTTTAAGTACATTCACGAAGCCATAGTAATTTCCAGTCCCTTTCATTTTCTGATGATCTGAATATATAGAGAATATATTCCTTTATAATTAATATAAAACAAAGACATTTTTAAATTTATTTTTCATTAAAACCTATATTATTTACCCAATCGGCATTCTTCTCAAAGCCATAGTTTTCAGTCCTCCCTCTGTAATCTTACCCCTTTGAAGCAAGCATAGAAATTTTATAAAATGTGGAATCATTTTCATTGAATTATGCTTAAACTATATTCATTAAGGCACAAAAATTGTTCATGAAAAATCATAATTTTTTTAAGAAATAAAATGGTGCGTATATGCACCATTGGCCAAATTCGTGGTCAAATCATTTCGTTGAACACTACTTATTTTTATGACATTTTGTTTTTATTTTATCTACAGAACTTGCAACTTTATTCCATCATAAAAACATACTATTAATTTCAAATGGAATACATTTTCAAAATTAAAAAAGAAAGAAGAAAAAAAAAACTAGCGTTATTTGAAAATTGCTCAATAAAAAGTGTTTACTGCAATTTAATTACTAATATTCTTCGGAGCTCTTTAAAATAGCAGAAAAATGAAATTTATGAAAAATATAAGTCACAGTGTTAATAAAAAAGCATTTATAGAAATGGTGCGTTTATGCATCTTTGGCCCAAAAACGGTTAACTCCCTTATTTGCTTCATTTTCTCTATGAACATTTTATTACATTCAAGGTTTTTACCCAATAAGTCTAAATTAAGATGTTATTTTAATCGACTCAAATAAAAAAATTAACTAAACAAAATGTTGTGTTTGTAACAAATTGAAAATATTTTCAATACAAACACGAATTACGAAATGAGAATAAATTCCGTTACCTTTTTCGTAAAATGCCATTCTGAATACCTATGTCTTCTTTTAACATATCTTCCGTTACTTGTAAAAGTAGATCTCCGTCCACTCTACTGTTCTTGAAAGCGGTGGTATAATCAACAAAACCTATCTGTAAACAGAATGATTTATGAAATACACTGTAAAAAATTCGGGATCAAATTACGGTAAAAACATGTTATGGAACAAATAATCTGATATGCCGTTATTTTTACACTAATAATTACCATAAAATTACTGAATCACTCTACTTAAATCATTATTGCTGTAAATATTACGGTCTAATATTTTACAGTTAGAATGGAGTTTGCGAATAATGCACCTAAAGTGCCTGTCTTTTATACCGTAATTCGAATCCGGAATTTTTCACAGAGTACGTTATTCATCTGGTAATTCACATGCATTTGTATTATAGTTTTGCACATTAGTTTTATTAACAAAATGTGCCGTATGAGAGTCGATAATTGCGTTTAGCTATTTGATGATGTATCGTAAGAGGTATGTCTTTGGACATAAATGTGAGTTGTACTTAATTATGAAAATATAGAAAATGTTAAACTGCACTTCTGCATTATCTCTGTTCTGTAAATAAAATGTAAATTAATCGGATCTATTGATGTATCTTCGGACACAATTATAAATTGTACTTAATTATAAAAATAATGGAAATGTTGAACTACAAAGCAGTATGTCTGTTCGGTGAATTAAATGTAAATTTACCGGATCTATTAACATGAATTCGGACATAAATATGATTTGTACTTGATTATAGAGACAGAGGAAATGTTAAACTACAAAGCAGTTTATGTCTGTTCTGTGAATTAAATGTAAATTAACAGGATCTATTACATAAAGGAAGCTTTTATGGGTTTTTAAAAGAAAAATTAGGTGCTAATTTTTCGCATCTGGGTGACGAAAAAGAGAGCTGATGGGCCATTCATCTGCTGAAATGAAATCATTCAAAAACTCTAGTTTGGTTGATCATAAATCTTGCTTAAATAAAGCCTCAACAACAAAGGGTACTTAAAGAACCCATAACGCACGCCTCTGAACTTCTTTTAAATGCCGCTCAAGGTTGTTGTTGCTAGTTTTCTTCCACACGTCAAAAAAAGGTCTGATGTTTTTAAAAATGATGTTCTCTTCTAAAGGCCAATAAACGGTTAATTAAACCCCTTTTTTTTCGACTGCCCGATTAGAAAAGACAATTCTGTATTGCGCTCAAAGACAACTAAGTTTCTAGACACAACTTAAGGAGAATTTTCTTTTTTAGTATTATTATTCTTTCAAGTGGAAAAAATTTACCATTCTTCTTTCAACATTCATTCATTTCAACATTTACGAATACATTTATGTATATTAAGACTGGTTTACGAAATTAAATGTTGCTATTGTCTTTCTGGGAAGAATATATAGTTTTACCATAGGTTTCTGTTAAAAGTTTCTATATAAGTTGAGTATATAAGTTTGCAATAAGTTTCTTTGTTTCATACCATCAGAAAACAAATATTATTTTCTAATTTGCATTTTATTTAATAAAATGATTTATGCATTCGAGAATCCTCGGATTTGGATTAAAATTTTCAAAAAAGTACAGTGATATCTGTTAAAGATAATCACTTGTGGTGCAACAATTTATTAGCAAACTTAGAGGATTCACTTACAAAAGTGATCACTTTTACATGCCTTTATGTATTTTTTTAAAGAAAAAATAGCGAAATATCGGAAAGCATTTGGTTAAAATGACATTTTTTTTTCAATTTGTAACAACAATTATATGTTAAAATAGTTTTCTACTGGAATTTTTTAAAATTGCAAAACACGCATTTTCTTATTTAATTAAGTTAAGAAGGAATTAGTGGTAAGAATAATTTAAAATTATAGATAAATAATAATGATAGTTTCAAGATAACACTTTTACCTTGAACTACCTTGGTTTTAAGTACAACGAGGATTTAAAATAGTAGAAATGATTTTAAGATTTACCAATTTTATCAAAAGCACCCCTAAAAAAAAGGAATGTATCAAGTTAACATTTAAAGTAGTAGTTAAATAATTTCTAAAGCTTTACATTTGAAAGTCCGTATCAGATGAAATTTCAAATTTTTAGTATAAGAGTTGCCTGTGAGAAAAAAACTGCATAGCATTTATAATATTGTAAGGTAAAAATAAAAAACATATTATTTGTCTTATTCTAACAAAACGTGATTAAGCTTACTTGTTTAACCCATTCTTCTACATCTTCTTCGGTCCATAAAGGAACTTGCTGAGAGAGTTTGTGAGGTACAACTTCACCAATAATTTGCAATGCTTGTGCAGCAAATTTGGATGCTATAGCATTCGGCGAGCTCGCTACTTTCTTTAGAGCTTCAACTGCTCCTATATCTTTAAATACCTAAATTATTCAGAACAATAACATATAACGCTGGTTTAGGAATCAAGCATAAAATACATTTTTAATATCGAACCATAGTTACCTTAGTATTATTTTGCCGTTTTTTAATTCCAGCTTCCATTGCAAAATGGAATGCCGCAAGACTCCTTGCCTCTTCCCGTTTGCTGTCCAAAACATTTACTAGTCTCGTTAACCAATTGTTAGACTGTCCATTGATATGGGCTTCATGACCTTTGGCGAATTCATCAGGACTATGACTTGTTATGAAGGGTTCGACAAGACCTAAAGTTCCAGATTTCAGAACAGCAGCTTCGATTTCTTTGTTGGCAACTAGAGATGATATTGCCAGGCAAGCATAGTATTTTATATTATCGTCATTATTAAAAGCAAGAGTAAATAACCACTCGGGGACTTTGTGTCTTATCATTGCCTCCTGGTTTTCTGGCCCTCCGTAAAGGGACAAGTTTGCAAGAGCGGTGGCACAGTGTCGTAGCGTTGTAATGTCACATGTCCTGCATTTTTGTACGATAGATTTTAAGCCCCCGATTCGAATCACTTCGCTACAAGTAGCTTCAGAGTGTTTAAAAAGATGTTCTAATAAACCTGTGCCAACTCGAAAGCGACTTAGTGAGCTGTCGTCACTGCAAGAACATGCAACTTTAACAACCTTTTCTAAGCCGTTCTCCACTACGTAAGTTCTGTTTTCGGTAGACATGCACTGCTCTAAAAGTTCCGCACTGCGGAACCGTAACTCAATGCTTTCAGAGCTACAGTTGTCTACAAGTATTTTTAAGCAACCATTTTCACGCAGAATATTGCACAGCGCTATTCCGAGATCGTGTCCATAGTTTGGAATGGCCCATGCTTTTCTGACTATATCACTCATGGCGGATAAAATATTTATACATTCTTCAGTAGTGGCGGTTTTCAGTTTTTCTACATATGCAGTTATTCTGCTTCCGAATCGATGCATGGCATTTTGAACTTCAGAAGGATCAGAATCTCCACTCAAGATTCTTATATCTTCGTCTAAACCTTGCATTATCGAAAGAGTTTGGCTACCATTTTGACTAAAAGGGAATGACTCAATTCCATTACAACTGAATGACATTCCCAATGACGAGACGTTGCCGAAATCAACTTGATGAATATTTTGACTGGATATAGAAGACTTGTTCACTCCTAGAGATGTAATAAAGAAGGCTTATTACTCTATTGAAATTATGCAGACATTAATAATGGATTAAAAACAATTCCAAAGAGGATCGAAATCCTTCCAAGTTAGTTTAGCAATTAACAGACAGGTAAAAATAAATAATATTGCTTTGGGAGATATAATGGATCAGAGTGGTATATCTGTAAGTCAAGCACAAACTGGCCATTTGAAGAACTTAGCAAATTCCTGGGGGATGCTCAACTTTCGTCCGATTTTGAAGAGAAAAAAAAGACGCTCATAATAACGTTAACGTAACTATACAAAAATATTAACTTTTTAAAATAACCTAAATTTATGAAAAACTATCTTTTTTACCTTATTTCTTAATTTAAATATTGATACGAATTTCTCAACTTGAAGTAAGTTTATCATAGATGATCTGCCAAGTCATTACAAGTTTTTCAAAAATTAAATGAATAAATAAAAGTTCATAAAGTTTACGAAGAAGATTTATCCTAGGCAAGTGTAGAGTTCGATATGCATAATTTGAGCAGGATATATTGCTATTTCTCTGACTCTTCTCCCTATTTTTTAAATTCTTTTAATTTTTTTTTTGTTGTTAGTTTAGATATTATTTTTTTAGAACTTTTAAAAAGCTCTAATTTGAATTACCAGTACTTTGAAATTGAATTTTGAATTTTATATAGCACATTAAAAAAAAAATGTGTAATGACATCTTATGCTGCCTTGGGCTGAAACTGCACAAATATCTCTAAATCATATTTTATTATTGATACATACCCTCCAACTGCTACGGAATTTCCGTAGTTTCAGAAATCTTCTTTTCAGACGGTAGCAAAATTAATGTCTTAATATTTAAAGAAAATTAATTTTAGCGTAACTTGTCCACTATTACTTATAAAAGTGCAGGCCATATGGTTAGATTCTTAAGTTCTGATAAAAGTTTTATGAGAGATCCATTTGCTTTAAAAATTTCTACTTTGGTTCGCTACCACTAGAAAGAATTATTTTCAAAATCCTCATAAGTTGGAGGGTATGTTGATACATGTAATTAAATTCTTTATTAATTTTTTATTATACTATCGTAAAACAAAATTTTAAGGTTACTATTTAAAAAAAATTTTAAATTATGTTTTTACGATATTCAAAAAACAAAACTTATGACAACAATATTAATTAAAATAAAATGAAATTGGCTCACAACTTTCCCATACATTTTCAGACGAAATCGTCACACAGCCATCATAGAACTAACAATAATATGGACAAAAAGCTAAGTACATAATGGGATACCTGTAAGTGACTTAGTGTGGATATCTCGATCCTGATTGGTTATTGAAATGTGGCATTTGTTTACGTTAGCAAATGTTCTTTACATCCTCTTTCGAGTAAGCCAAGCTCGTCAAGTGTCAATTCTCTTAAGTGATACATTGTATATTCTTACACAAAGATTCTTTTTCAAATATTTCGATGCTTTCACTATTTTTTATTTAACACAAAAATAGGCATGAAGCCATGTAGAACATAAACTAATTATGCATCAAAGTTGCCAGGTACACAAAACAAAAATATATCCCGGTTACTATAACATGCATAAACAAATAATAAATCAAAGTTAGGAAAATAGAATTATATTTCAATAAATTCGATGTGCGATACGAAGTTGTATTTAATTAACTTCAAGTTAATTGTTAGCTTATAAAGAGTCACACAACGTCAACAACGAGACGTCAACAGCTGGCTCTGATGTCATGGGTCACATGCGTTTGTATCCGTGATCTTCTTCTTAAAATGTAAGTACCCAATTGGGTACTTGCAATTCAAGAAGAAGTGAAGTGATTATGCCTAATCATGGAAATTAAATCAGATTTAATTGGATACCTCTAAAAGATGTCACGCGTGTGTGTCAAACCTGATTGGTTTCTATTTCGGCAATTGGCATTGTTTACCTACGATGACGTCACTTCCATTTATCCAATTAAACATTTGGTAACTAAAGGTATCAACAGGCCTGGAAGTAAGACGGAAAGATAATAAACTGCTAATCATCCCATTTCTTTTTAACTTATTTTAGGAAGGAGTAATTCTATTCCTAATTATAGACAGTTAATTACTGTTTCTTGCGTAAGAAGCAGTGCAGTCTTATAAATATTTTATAACTGTAGATAATTACGGTATTTTTCCTGAAAGAGAGCTAATATGAAATGTTCATCGAAATAAGTTATTTCTCTTTTCCGTCCTATATATATATATATATA